ATGTATTCCCTTGTTCTCCAGGTGGGCGCCTGATTACTGAACTTGAAAATGTATTCCCTTGTTCTCCAGGTGGACGCCTGATTGCTAAACTTAAAAATGTATTCCCTTGTTCTACAGGTGGCGCCTGATTGCTGAACTTGAAAATGTATTCCCTTGTTCTCCAAGTGGGCGCCTGATTGCTAAAACTTAAAAATGTATTCCCTTGTTCTCCAGGTGGGCACCTGATTGCTGAACTTGAAAATGTATTTCCTTGTTCTCCAGGTGGGCGCCTGATTGCCGAACTTGAAATGTATTCCCTTGTTCTCCAGGTGGGCGCCTGATTGCCGAACTTGAAATGTATTCCCTTGTTCTCTAGGTGGGCGTCTGATTGCTGAAACTTGCATGTATTCCCTTGTTCTCAAGGTGGGCGCCTGATTACTAAACTTGTAAATGTATTCCCTTGTTCTCCAGGTGGGAGCCTGATTGCTGAAACTTAAAAATGTATTTCCTTATTCTCTAGGTGGGCGCCTAATTGCCGAACTTGAAATGTATTCCCTTGTTCTCCAGGTGGGCGCCTGATTGCTGAAACTTAAAAATGAATTTCCTTGCTCTCCAGGTGGGCGCCTGATTGCTGAAACTTAAAAATGAATTTCCTTGCTCTCCAGGTGGGCGCCTGATTGCCGAACTTGAAATGTATTCCCTTGTTCTCCAGGTGGGCGCATGACTGCTGAAACTTGAAATGTATTCCCTTGTTCTCTAGGTGGGCGCTTGATTGCTGAAACTTGCATGTATTCCCTTGTTCTCCAGGTGGGCGCCTGATTACTGAACTTGAAAATGTATTCCCTTGTTCTCCAGGTGGGCGCCTGATTGCTGAAACTTAAAAATGAATTTCCTTGTTCTCCAGGTGGGTGCCTGATTGCCGAACTTGAAATGTATTCCCTTGTTCTCTAGGTGGGCGCCTGATTTCCACAAAACAGACAAAAAACAAAGAAAACTTTTGCCCCAGTTTGGTGCTGGGTGCATCTATGAGTGTTAATTGAATGAATTTGAAAGCTAAATCCCATGAATCAGGAGGGTCCTGAAAATCAAACATCAAGTCCTATCTTAAGAGTGACAACTTTTACGGCTGAATTATACTACCTTACAGCAGAACTTATGCTAAATGTTGTTATCTAATTGAAATCTTAAAACTAAGTCCCATTATTCAGGAGGGCCCTGAAAACTCCTAATTGAATCCTATCTCAATAATGCAAACTTTGAAACCATCTTACATTCCTTGGGTTACATTTATGCTAGATTTTACTACTTATGATTGTTTGAATTTTAAACTAGGTCACATTTTTTAGGAGGGTTTTGAGAACTCCAAAATAAATCTCACCTTAAGAGTGACAACTTCAAAGCTAAATCCTATTTCCTAAAGGTAAAACTTACGCTAAATCTTATTTTCTATGAAGGCCTTCGAACTAAATCCCATTGTCCAAGAGGGTCCTGAACACTTAAAACTAAATCCCATTATCCAGGAGGGTCCTGAAAAGCCGAGAATGAACTTACTTGAGCCATGCTTTCTTTTTGGAGGATCTCTGCAGAACGAACAAAATTCCTTGCCTCTGAACCATGCTTTTCCTCATGGAGCGTTCCTACAGATCGAACAAATTTTCCTTTCCCCTTCTCAAACCGCCTTTGTGCTGATAAAATTTGGGCATGACATTGCAACAAAATTCAAACTTTGATTTGGACACAATTTTTATCCATGTTCAAACAAAGAAAACTTGTGAGTTTATAAATATGGTGGTTGGTTTGTGGCATTGACTTTCAGGGCGATTGCTCCTTCACTTCCCATGATAACTTTGGTTTCAACTTGAAAGACCTTGCCTGTTTATTGACTGACCACTTTCTCTGTCACCCTTATCATAAAAAATACCTCTTCTGCGTTCAGACCCAATACCCTCTATCTATTGCATTGCTCATGAACTGGCATTCACCAAACCTTTGTGTCTCACATGAATCCCAAAGTACGTCAATTACCACCTACTCAGTGCATATGTTGTTCTTCCTTGACTTAAACCACTGGCCTTGGCCTTGAGGTCTATTGCTCCTTTACTTGCCATGATAACTTTGATTTCTGCTT